CAGGGAATATTTTATCTACTTAGGAAAAACAATTCTTTGTTAAGCTGACGCCACGGCACTCTAGCCCAGACAACACAGCAAGACTCTGTCTCAAAAAAAAAAAAAAAAATTTGTTTTTCTTATAATCAGTCTGATTTATCCAATTGGCTTGGGGAAGGAGGATGGGCTTTATGACTTATACTCTTGCGGCTGACATTTCCCACAAATGGAATGAACTTGATCTGCAGCTCCAAGGGTTTGGATGAAAATACAGTTTAAAAAAAATGCACAATAACACTGGAAATGACATTCTTGGCAACTATTCAAACTTACAACAGAAACATTTTAAATTTTAGCTGAAAACGTGTGAAGGAGGGCATATGTCTATAAACTTCTTTGTGATCACGTGAGCAAGAGCTAGCAGACCACTGCTTTAGACTATGGCTCTTCCCACTTGCCCCTCGGTCTTAGGACGGAGAGGCTGGCAGCTGGTGCTGGTCTTCTAGTCATATGTGTAGCCAAAGTGAGACCATCTTGGTGCAAGCTTCTTGATTAAACAGATATTGGGAGTTGAGTCAACATTTCCCTTCACTGGTTCTTACTGTGGTGGTCAAGATTATTGCTACAAGGCCCTGGCCGTGGGGTGGAGGCTGAGGGACGGGGGGGAAGAGAGAGTGTGTGTGTGTGCGTTTGGGAGTGGGCGAAGGGAAGGATCATCTTCTTTGCGGAAGCAGCCCACACAGGTGCATGGAAAGGGCAGTGGGCTTGAAGGCCTGATGACCAGCCTGGTCTCTGGTGGCCCCAGGTGAGTCTCTTCACCTGTCTGGGTGGCCGTGTGGCCCTAAGACCCAACCTGCTATTTATCCACATGGATGCAGGGAGGGGGAAACTGATGACTGAGAGAGAGTTTAGTCAAGTTATAAGAGAGAGGTGGGGCCGGGCGTGGTGGCTCACACCTGTCATCTACCAGCACTCTGGGAGGCTGAGGTGGGAGGATCGCTTGAGCTCAGGAGTTCAAGACCAGCCTGAGCAAGGACCCCATCTCTACAAAAAACACAAAAATTAGCCAGGTGTGGTGGCACATGCCTGTCATCCCAGCTACTAGGGAGGCTGAGGCAGGAGGATCACTGCAGCCCAGGAGTTTTGAGGTTGCAGTGAGCTATGATCACCCTGCTGCATTCCAGCCTGGGTGATAGAGAGACCTTGTCTCAAACAAACAAACAAACAAACAACAACAAAAAAAAAAAACAAAAAGAAGAGAGGGAGAGAAAGAGAGAGAGAAGGGTGGGAGGTGGGGAGAGGCAGTGGACAGGTTCCCTCTCCACCATGGGACAGAGAGGCTGCTGGAGTTAATTAATTACTAATATTTAAAACTAACACTGACTTGGCCCTTACTATGTGCCAGGCACTATTCTAAGTGCTTTAAATATAAACTTATTTAACCTTTACAACAATCCCATGAGGCAGGTATTATTATACCCATTTTACAGATGATGAAACTGAGGCTCAGAGAGGTTATGAGACTTGCTGAAGCTGGGATTTGAATGCAGGAAGTCTGCCTCCAGAGTCCATCTTTTAACTCTGTGATCATTAACTACTCCCACTGTGTCACAGAGATGATTTGGATTTGGAGATGCTAGGAACGAGGAGTGCCTGCCTTCCCCTTGGGAAGGGTGCCTGCAGATTCACAGAGCATTTGCAGATTTAAGGCATGTATATCCTGCAAATGATCCCTGCATATGGGGAATATGGGGAAATATTTTATAACCTTTGGGTAAAGAAGATGTGCATAAACAAGACGTGAAACAATTCCCCCCCAGATTAATACATTTGACGACATCAAAGCTAAACAGTTTTGTGTGATGGTGATTGAAACTATGCAATTAGCAATAATAATAGATAACATTGGGCATTGACATAAAGCCATTCAGATAACTTTTATAAGCTTTATTTTGCTTAATCCTCTCAATAACCATGTGAGGGAAATACCATTACAATTCTGTAGTTGACGAAAGGAAAATGTGGAGGTTTAAGGAATTTGACAAAGGTCACATAGGTAGAAAGTGGTGAGTCAGGATTTAAATCCAGCTAACCTAGTTCCGGAACTCGCGCTTTTAATTCTTAAATATAAAAAACTGGGAGAAATTATTTCCAAAATACATTCAAACAATAGCCCAATAGAAAAATGGGTGGAGAATGCAAACGTAGGAGCTGTTGCTCAATCTCATGGGGAATAGAGACAGTGCAGATGAAAACATCAGTGAGATGCCATTTGTTTTCAACCATTAGATGAACAAAAATAAAATGGTTATATACAGCCTTTTGGGAGGCCTATTTTGGCAGGAGCTATTAAAATTTTAAATGCCATTGACACCAAAGATCATTCTCTATGGAGTATTAGGTTGAGCCATATTAAATTGTCGTTTTTGTTTTTTTTTTTTGAGACAGAGTCTCACTGTGTTGCCCTGGCTAGAGTGAGTGCCGTGGCGTTAGCCTTGCTCACAGCAACCTCAAACTCCTGGGCTCAAGCGATCCTCCTGCCTCAGCTTCCCAAGTAGCTGGGACTACAGGCATGCGCCACCATGCCCAGCTAATTTTTTCTATATATTTTTAGTTGTCCAGCTAATTTCTTTCTATTTTTAGTAGAGATGAGGTCTTGCTCTTGCTCAGGCTGGTCTCGAACTCCTGAGCTCAAACAATCCGCCCGCCTCGGCCTCCCAGAGTGCTAGGATTACAGGCGTGAGCCACTGCGCCCGGCCTAAATTGTCGTTTTTGTAGGTCAAAACCGGCCTAATTTCCACAATTGCACATGGCTCAACCCAATACTAGAGCAGGTCATGGGGGAGTGGGAGGAGCCGGAGCCTGAGCTGGGAAGAATCTGGACATTCATTGGGCTCAGGAAATGCCAATCATCTGTGCTCAGTGAATGGAGACCCAGGTGCAAAGCCTAAAGCCCTTGGACCAGGTGGGGGAGGGTCCAGGCCTTCCTCCATCTGCCGGCTCTCCCAGCATGGAGGCGGGGACTCGCCATCCTCCCATCCTCGGAGGGCGGAGGCGATTTTATTTAAGGAATGGAGGCAGTATGTGGTACGTAGTCATGCAAAGATACGGCCATTTCTTTATCCTCACAGAATAGCAGACATGTTCATTAACCCAGCCACCAATATTAATAAGGGTTTACTTTAAAAATAGAATAAATACAACAGTGTCCAGGGAATATTTTATCTACTTAGGAAAAACAATTCTTTCCCAGCCTCCTGGCATCATCACTGGTTTATAGCCAATGTTTTAGAGTCAGTGTGCCCTAAACCGTCCTCATCTGCTGGTCACCGCAGACTCCGGGCTGACCTCCCTTTCCCCCCGAACCCCCCACCCTGCCCCCAAGCAGGGGTATGAGTGAAAAATCAGACCAGTCTGGATATCCAGGCTAGAGTGCAGTGGTGTCATCATAGCTCACTGCAGCCTCCAACTCTTGGTCTCAATCGATTCTCCTGCTTCAGCCTCCCGAGTAGCTGGGACTACAGGTACACAACACCATGCCTGGATGATTTTTTAATTTTTTGTCGAGACGGGATCTTGCTGTGTTGCTCAGGCTGGTCGTGTGTTCTCGTAAGGATAGGAAAGTGGCATCCACTCCATGCCGGACCCTCCACTCTCAGTTCTCATCTCACCTTTGCCGGCCTGGGAGAGGTACGTTGTCATCTCCGACATTGGAGAGATGCTCCCAGAGGATGCACGTGAACAAGTGGCAGAGCTGGGGTTTGGACCCGGCCCAGTCCTCGACGCTTTGGCTGTGGGGCGCATGTGGGACGAGGATTGTGAGATCCACCTTATCTGTTCCTCCTCGTGCCCTGGACCCACTGTCGAGATGCCAGCTTGTGGCATCGAGCGAAGCCCCTCCCTAGGCCTGCTGGTCCGTCTGCTCACCCATGTCGTGGGGGGATCCAGGCTGCCCCTGTGTGTCTCTCCCAGTTTTCATCGGCTGCCTGCTGCTGTCTGCACCCGTGTTCGGCTACCTGGGCGACCGACGCAGCCGCAAGGCCACGCTGAGCTTTGGGATCCTGCTCTGGTCAGGGGCCGGGCTCTCCAGCTCCTTCATCTCTCCCCCGGTAGGTACCCACACCCCTGCCCAGGCCCCTAGGGACCCTCCCTCACCTGCTCGCTCCCTGATCCAGCCCCATTGGAGCGGGAGAGAGATGGTTCTGCTCCATCCCCGGCCCTGGCTGGCTCAGGGATTGCACTCCCAGGGCTGGGAGAGAGGGGAGGGCACAGCCTCCAGGCCTGCGCCTGGGCAGGGCAGAGCCCGTTAGACTTTCTTAACAGGAGGCGTCCTCTCTCGCACCTCCCGCTGCTGCCCTCAGCTTCACTTCCGCCAGCTCTGCTGGGGGTGGTGCTGGGGGCAGCTGCTGTCTTGGGGAGCTGGCAGGTCAGCGAGGGCAGGACTCAGGAGACGGGCTCCCCTGGGCACAAGGACAGGAGGTGGCTACAGGCACTCGCAGGGGGCATCCGTGTGATTCGGGGAGCCTGGAGGGGGAGGGTAGTGAGGGGTCTGTAGCCCTGATCCCTCTCCCTCCTCTGTGGGCCTGTGTCATCAGGTTCCCTTGGTCCCTTTGACAAGTTCTTGGGTCCCTTGTCCCCTGGGTGATTTCTGGAACTCACCGTGGTCTTGTGCCCTCCCGTCCAGTATTCCTGGCTCTTCTTCCTGGTCCGGGGAGTTGTGGGCATGGGCACGGCCAGCTACTCCACCATTGCGCCCACCGTCTTGGGCGACCTCTTCGTCAGGGACCAGCGCACCCGCGTGCTGGCCATCTTCTACATCTTTATCCCCGTTGGAAGGTTGGTGTCACCCCTTGATCCACTTCCCTAGCGGGTAAGCTGAGGCCCAGAGGAGTCAGAGCAGGGGCTGGGTGGGGGGAAGGAGAGGTCAACCTAGGAGGGCGAGGGTTTGAGTCCCAACACTGCACCTTCCTCACCATGTCAGTTTCCCTCTCTGAGCCTCAGTTTCCTCATCTGTAAATGGGCTGATGGGCTGTGGTGAGTAGAGGCAATGAGGATGCTCCCAGCAGGAGTAAGAAAAAGCAGCGTGGCAGTGTGGCCCGCTCAGGGAGAGGCGGGTCCTGCACCCCACGGCAGGGTGGGACAAGCTGGGATTTGCAGTCAGGCCCCTGGACTCTGACCCACGTTTCCTGAAGTCTCCTGACTCAAGCAGGGCCGCACCCTGGGCACGAGGGTGGTGGGGGTGGTGGGTATGTATCTTCATATGTGCGGAGAGTGGCGCCAGGGGGCGGGCCGGGAGCCAGAGGTCACTGGGGACTTGACCAAGGGCAGTGGACATCTGGGCCTCACGTGGCTTAGTTTTCTCAGTGACAGGGCTGTGAGGCCACAGAGAGCCAGATCCCGGGGTCGGGGGGACTCTCTGCCTCCCGCCCCTCACGCCTGTCTCCCTCGCCCCCCGTTGCAGTGGTCTGGGCTACGTGCTGGGCTCGGCCGTGTCGGAGCTGACTGGAAACTGGCGTTGGGCCCTCCGAGTGAGTCCAGCTTCCTTCTCTTCCCTCTGCTTTCCCCCTGGGCCGGCAGGGACTTTCCAGCCTCGGTGGCCTTAGCCACTTGGCACGGCACCCGGCGCCATGGGGGGTGGTCAGACACTGGCAGCTCTGGACATTTGGGACCTCATATGGAATGTGAGCTGTGGAAATCTTGGCCCTGGGTTCAAGTCCTCGGTTTACCAGCTGTGTGATTTCAAGTAAGTCAGCTTCCTCCTTGGAGCCTCAGTTTGCCTGTCTGTAAAGTGGGGGTAGTAAATGCTACCTATGGAAGCTTGCGGATTAATGAGACAGGGGATAGGGAGTTCCTAGTCCAGGGCCAGGGCACACAGTAGGCCCTTAAGGACCGGCAGCTGGGGCTACTCAGGCAGTTGAGCCAGGACACCTAGGAAATTACCTGGTGGGCCCTGCTGGGGCTGCAGCCACCATTGGCTCCGACTCGGGCAGGCTATGGACCGAGGAGAAGAGGAAGGAGCTCTGGGGGCTCAGTCCTGTGTGAGCGCAGATCTGTGTGCAGATCTCTGCGGAGCCACCCCTGGGCCAGGGAACTGGCTTGTGAAGCCACAGAAGCCACAGCTGGGGCCTTGGGGCTGAGTGGGCTTCAGGGAGGCGGGTCTGTCTTTGCTGGAATGAGAACTCGCTCATGGTCGGAGCTGTCTGAGGGCCGCCCCAAGGCCGGTGCTGAGCTCCTCATGCCTGGAGTCTGAGCAGGGGGACCGTGAGGAGGGGACACCAGGGCAGGACCGGTGTGGCAGATGGAGCAGGGGCCGGGACAAGGGCCAGTTCTGGGGCGGCGAGGACTCAGTAGTCGGGGCTCCCATTCTCAACCGTCTCGGCCCACGGATCCCTACAGCGTAGAGTCCAGTGCAGACAGACAGGTGCTACATCAAGTCCTCAGGGGATCCCGCTCCCCAGAAAGGCTGCAGGGTGGGGGGTGAGAAGCAGCGGTGTGCCCAGCTCTGTGTATAACCAGCACCCAGGAAGAGCGTCACCCCCGCCGCCAGGGGCTGGGCCACAGAAGTCAGACCTGGTGGCAGGCCACAGTCACCCCCAGGGTCTCCTGGGCTGCGGGAGTGTGTGGCCCTGAGCATCCTGGGTACTTCTGTCCCCAGATCATGCCTTGCCTGGAGGCCGTGGCCTTGGTCCTGTTCATCCTGCTGGTTCCAGACCCGCCCCGGGGAGCCTCTGAGAAGCAGGGGGAGGTGGCCGTGGGGGGCCCGAGGAGCGGCTGGTGTGAGGACGTCAGATACCTGGGGAGAAAGTGAGTGCCCCTGCTCCCCCTGCAAGCCGAAGAAAACCCCTCTGTCTGCCCCTGCATCACTGACCTCCCTCTTCCGCCTCCAGGCAGCTCTCCTTGGTTGCCCCAGTGTTCACAGCCCTGTTCTTCCTCTGAGGTGTCGCTCCCTTATTTAGGGCTCAGCCCCCATCACCTCACCATGGGACAGAAATATGGACAGGGAGGGAGGCGGGCGGCGTGAGCTCCAGCCTTGCCTCCGCCACTGCCTTACCCCTACATGAGCCTGAGACCGGAGCCTCACTTTCCTAGTTTACTCAGTGGGTGTAATTCTCCAGCCGTGCCTGCTGGGAGGACACTGGGAGTTGGTCACTCACCTCTCCAAGCCTCAGGGGAGTGCACCGTCCTCTGCCCCGGGCATGCTGGGGGAGGCAGACGGGCCAGCTGCAGTCGGGGCCTCATGGTTCGCTGCAACATGGGGGCGGCAGGGCCCAGCTCTCTTCGTTGCAGAGCCGTGAGATGGTTGAGGGGCTCGGAGGAAGATGGGGCAGGCAGGGACAGCTTCCCGAGGCCTCTTAGGATGGGCAGATTGGGTCCTGCAGAGAGGAGGGAGACAGGCACAGTGTGAGGTGTGGGGGTGGGCTGGGTAGGCTGGAGCCTGGGGTGCCCGGGGGGGAGGTGGAGGGGACAGGCCCCTTCGGCCCCAGCACTCTCCCGACTTCGTCCGGCGCACCTTCTCTTGCAGCTGGAGCTTTGTGTGGTCGACCCTTGGAGTGACTGCCATGGCCTTCGTTACTGGAGCCCTGGGCTTCTGGGCCCCCAAGTTTCTGTTTGAGGCCCGTGTGGTCCACGGGCTGCAGCTTCCCTGCTTCCGGGAGCCGTGCAGCAGCCAGGACAGGTGAGGGGTCTCCGGGGGCCCTGGGCGTCTGGGCCAGCCAGGGAGCTCTTGCTGAGGAAGTTCTGGGGTTCTGAGCTCTAAAACTCAGTCTCGTGGGCACACGGTGCTGTGTGAACACAGCAGGGTGCAGGAGCCAGCTGGCAGGCAGGAGGCCGGGGTCTAGCTCTGGGTGAGTCCCTGCTGCCCTGGTGGTCACCAGCAGCTCCCTTGTCCTCTCTGGGCGGAACTCTCTGTCTTCCCACTGTCGGGCCGTTTTAGGGGTGCGGAAGGCATTGGCTGGGGAAGGGGCGAGGCTTCTGTGGGGGCCTGTGGGGTGACAGGGGTCTCAGGCAACTGTCCTTTGGAGGTGCCCATAGTGTCTTCTGTGAGGTCACCCCATTCATTCCATTTTACAGGTTGCAGATTGAGGCACCGGGAGGCCTCATTACTGCTCTGGCTGAAGCATTTCATGTGTGCATTCATTTGTGCTCTGAGGTCATCTGAGACACCCAGAGTCCTGCAAAGCTGCTGGGAGGTGGGAGGCGCTGGCACTCTGTCCTCAGGGGATGGCCTCTCCCACCTCCTGCCTCCTGTGCTCGGCTTCTGTCCCTACCACCTTCCACCCCATTCTCCGAGGACTCCACTGACCTCCTGGTGTTGAGTCAAGGACATCTTTGTTTTTTTTTTTTTTTTTGAGACAGAGTCTCACTCTGTTGCCCTGGCTAGAGTGAGTGCCGTGGCGTCATCCTAGCTCACAGCAACCTCAAACTCCTGGGCTCAAGCGATCCTTCTGCCTCAGCCTCCCGAGTAGCTGGGACTACAGGCATGCGCCACCATGTCCAGCTAATTTTTTTCTAAATATTTTTAGTTGTCCAGCTAATTTCTTTCTATTTTTAGTAGAGACGGGGTCTCGCTCTTGCTCAGGCTGGTTTCAAACTCCTGAGCTCAAACAATCTGCTCGCCTCGGCCTCCCAGAGAGCTAGGATTACAGGCGTGAGCCACCGTGCCTGGCCAAGGACATCTTTCAATCCTCCCTGACTTTTCTTCTCCTCCTCCTCAGAGCCCTCAGTTCTAGCCTCCTCCTTCCCTCTGGCTGATGCTTTTCAGTCCCCTTGCGGTCCCCTCTTCCTCTCTGACCCTGCCCTGATGGGCTCCTGGGAGTTGCTCAGGGCTCTCTGCTGGCTGCACCCATGTCTACCTCCTCCTCCCTCCTCTCTTGCCTCTACCTGACTCCCTGATGCCCAGAGGAAGCTTCATGTGATTTTCAGAGCGTCCCTGGCATCTCGCTTGTGTGTGCCTTTGCCCCGGCTGCGTCCTCTGCCCATAGCTCCCCTCCCTTCTCATGACTTATTAAGCTTTTACTGTAGTTCAGCCCCTATGCCGAGTATCACATGTGGAAAACCCTCAATGGAAGGTATCCCTGTTATTCCTGTGTTACAAATGAGGAGATGGAAGATCAGAGAGGTTAAGTGACTTGTCCAGGGTCACGCAGTGAACAAGTAGCAAGAACAAGCCAGGATTCAAACCTTTCTGACTCCAAAGCTGGTGCTCTGAAGCTCCATGGCCTGTTGCCTCTGCAGATGGCCTGTTGCTGCTAATTGACTTGAGCATCTCCCCACTTAGCTGGGCGTGGCTTTCTGGCACATAGTAGGTACTCAGGGAAAGCTTGTGAATGAATGCATTGAGCGAGACTGCAGCGTTTGTCTTGGCTGTGCAGCTAGATCGTTCTCCCTCCAGAGCAGAGACCGCCTGGACCCTAAAAGCCAGGCACGCTGATCCTCACAGCAGCTCGAGCAAGTGGGGTGAAAACAGGACTCGCTGTCGCTTCACGCATCCACTGGCCGCATAATCCTGGGCAAGTGGCTTCCCCTTCTGCCGGCTTCAGCCTCCCGGCTCTGACTCCGCCCCTTCGCTGACTGGTGTGAGAAACTGGCGTTGGAGTGTGTGTGAGTTTCCCGTGGTTGATGTAACAAAGGACCACCAACGTGGTAGCTTAAAACAACAAAAGTTCATTTTCTCAAATTCTGGAGGCCAGAAGTCCCTTGGTTTCCCTGGGCCAAAATCAAGGTGTCAGCAGGGCCACATACCCTCCGGAGGCTCTGTGGGATAGTCCTTCCCTGTTTCTCCCTGCTTCTGGTGGGTGCCAGCATTCCTTGGCTTGTGGCTGCCTCGCTCCAAGCTCTGCCTTCGTGGCCGCCTTCTCCTTTTCTGTCTCAACTCTCTCGCTACGTCCAGGCAATGAGGACACTTGTGATTACATTTAAGGCTCACTTATAATCACAACTACAAAGTCTATTTTTCCATAGAAGGCAACATCCACGGGCTGCAGAGATTAAGGATGGAGACATCTTGTTGGGGGTATCATTCAGCCTACCACAGAGTGGGTAGAAGGTCCTGGTGTTGGGGTTCTGCACAGATCTCGGCTGTTACTATACCCTCCTTGGTCAAGATAAGCCCCAGGATGAGGGTGGGGCAGGGGCAGGAAGCTGCAGGACACAGGATTCCAGCTCAGAAAGCGGGGAAAACTTCCAACAGTCAGAGCTGAAGTGGCCCAGATAGAAGGAGGTGCATGAGGAGGAGGGTAGTGAGCTCCCCATCCCTGGGGGGTGTGTAAGTAGAAGTTGGACAGCGCTTGTCTGGGCCATTGTGCAGGCGATCAGTGTGGAACTTTTAGGCCTTCAGGGGCTCTCTTGCCTCTGAGAGTCTGTGATCCTGGGCAGGGGAGGGAAGGGCTTGGTGGCTGGGGTGTGTCCTCTGGCTGCACCTCCTGCTCAGCGGCCAGTGGGGGTGCCCATCCAGGAAGGCTGTCTGAGTGGTCAATCCTAAGTCTCACAAATGTCTTAAGAACCTGCCAAGGCTGGCTCAGACCAGGACTTGGAGGCAGCTAACGTCCATCCGGGATTCCGGGTCACTTGACTGGGCTGAGCCAGAGCCTTGCACAGCTTGGAAGGCTGAGAAGGTTCGGAGGGCACCTTTAAGCTGCCTAAGGACACACATGCTTCTGTCTGGTAGGCAGAGGGCCAGGAGGCCCTGGCTGTGCCTCTGAAGGGCTGTGTGGCCTCAGGCAAGTTCCTGCCCTCTCTGGGCTCCGTACTCTCTCCTATACAGTGAGGCAGATGGGGTGGGGGAATGACCCCATAGTCCTCAGCTGTGAGATGGACATTCCACAGAAGTTGCTCAGGGTAGAGGTGCTTTTTTGGTGGCACTCTGTCGATAACCATGGTCTTGCACCTAACACATTCTAACATCTTGATGGGGACCGTGAAAGTAATAGCAGGGCACTGGCCGGCCACCCCTTCTAGTGGGTACTGGCTGGGTGGAGAAGGTGGGTGGGGAGCAGTGTGGGCCGACGCAGGGAGTCCAGCAAGCACAGGGCAAGCTTAGAGAGCTCCCAGTCATTTGTGCAAAGGGAGGGAGGGAGAGAGAGGGGAAGCTTACATGGGCCAGCAGGGCCAGTCCCGCAGGGAGCTTGCTCAGACAACGGGGTGTGGCGGGGGAGGGCTGGAAAAATCCTGGTTAGGTTTTTCTTTTCTTTTCTTTTCTTTCTTTTTAGCTGTTGCATGGGCAGCAAGGTTTGTGTTTTCAGGAGTTCATGCTGGTCAGTCTCAGCTATCCCTTTGAGCTCCTTTCAAAGGAGGCTTAGGTTGCAGAATGCAGCAAGAGGGTGAAGATGTAGATTCGAATCGTGGCTCTGTCGTTTACTAGTTGGATACTCTTGGCCTTAACTTTCTTCAGCCTCGCCTTCCTCATGTGTCCATCTGGGAATTCTGGGAGGGATCGATGAGTCCATCGACTCAACACTCTTCTCTTGTGCGGCCGGCTCTGTGCTCCCAGCGTGGCGTCAAGACAGTGAACCACGCCTGTTGCTGTTCTCCAGGAATTCACAGGCTGGTGACTGACCCTGATAGTAGAGACATGGAAGGTGCCATGGGGGCTGATGGGAGTGAAGGGATCAACCAGGAAGCAGGGGGAGGCATCCCCAAAGAAGGGACATTTGAGGTGGGTCATGAAGGATGAATAGGAGTTTGGTAGGTGGAAAAACTGGTGTAAGGTATCCCAGATGGTCCCAGATGGAGGAACGAAAGTATGAGGTGGGAGTGGGGTTGGGGGAGCGACTAGTCTGAGAGAAGAGAATAGAGCTGGGGCCTGGGGTTGGGGTGAGCCAGGGTCAGATCCTGAGGACCCATGTACACTGTGTAGAGTTGGGACCAGACCTGGCAGGTGTCTGAGAGCTGGTGGAGAATTTTAGGCAGGGGGTGGGAAGAGACATGGTCAGGTCTGTGTTCTAGAAAGCACTCTCTGGGGCCCTGTGTGGAGGCTACTCAGGGGGCAGGTCTCCGAGGAGGGATGTGCAAGGGGGAGCCACATGGAGCGGAAGCAGGTCCAGGAGTGGCTGGGAGATGGAAGGAAAGCAGGAGGCGGCGCTTGGGAGGTGTCAAAGGCAGGGAGCAGAGGGCTGCGGCTCAAGGAGGGAGTGTGTGGGCGAGGCTCAGACGGGGGGCCGAGGTGTCATAGGAGCTCACTAAATACACACTCCTATGCCCTTGTTCCTCTCAGTGTTGGGGCTGGAAGGAGAGAAGCGCGGGGCCCGAGTGGGACCCTAGAATTAAAATTCCCGAGTGGGGCAGGTTTGGGTAGTGAGAGGTAGAGGTCACTGGGGATGAGGTGGGCTGGGGCCTGTGGTGCTGAGGTGCTGGGTGGTCACCCACATGACCTGTGGCACCCGCAGGATGAGGCAGGAAAGGGGGTAGGGTAGGGCAGGGGAGGACATGGGTCAGGAGGGCAGGAAGGGGTAGGTCGGGCCAGGGGCCTACAGCCACATTCTCTGCAGGTACCAGATCATGCACCTGGGCCAGGTGGCTAGACCTGGGGCTGGGGGAGGGACGAACGGCCCTATCCTGACCCCACCCAGCTGACCAACCCCTCTCTTTTCTTCCCCATCAGCCTGATTTTTGGGGCAATGACCATCGTGACCGGCATCATCGGGGTCATCGTGGGGGCAGAGGCTGCAAGGAGGTACAAGAAAGTCAACCCAAGGGCTGAGCCCCTCATCTGTGCGTCCAGCCTGCTTGCCACAGCCCCCTGCCTCTACCTGGCTCTCGTCCTGGCCCCGACCACCCTCCTGGCCTCCTATGTGAGTGACAGGGCCCCCGGGGAGGTGAGGTGGCCCTTATGTACATCGTGTTGATCCCTCCTTCTGGGTAGAGCTGATTAGCTCCATTTTACAGACGAGTAAACAGAGACTTGCCAGGAGTTACACAGCGAGGAAGGGGTGGAACTGGAATATGAATCTAAGTCTTCCTGACTCTACAGTGTGTCTTCTGAGCCCCTGGCTAATGTGTTGATTTGAGACAATGGGACGCATTTATTCCCAGGGCATGTTGTGAGCCCAGGAAGTAAAAGGGTAATTCTCCCCAGCTCACAGATGAGGAAAGTGAGGCCCTGAGTGGTCATAGCCAATTTGGACACTGCTTTAAGGGTGACAATCGATCGCGATAATATCCAGTTTTCCAAATCCACATCCCGTCATATCCTTCACGTGCGTCAGGCTCTGGCTACACCGGCGACATGGGCTCACACCCCCAGCCTTTGCTTGGGGCCCTTCCCTGCACTAAGGGCACCACGTCACAATGGCTTCGGTGTCCTCCTGCTGGCTTGGGTGGGTTTCCCGCCTGTGACCAGATCCCACAGCTTTTGCAGCCGCTGGTCCCATTGAAATCAAACCTTTGGCTCTGCTTCCAAATAAAGCTTCTAGCCGGGACCAGAGAGTTGCACCGGGCAGACGGGGAGCTATAGCCTGTTCTGTTCTCCTTGTCCCTGTTTCTGTCCCTCATCCTCGACGCTGCTCCTGCCCTGAGATTCTGACCCCCGTGGGGCTGAGCGGGTAAGGAAGGATGGCCGGAAATGGGCCAAGTATTACCTGTGTCTGGAGTTGTTCTTGCTGTCGGCGCCCTCCCTGTGGCAGATGCCCTGATACTGGGCGTGGGGACACTTCTGAGGGTGTTTTGGGGCCTCTGGCCCCGGCTTTTGCATCACCCAATTCCTTGATGCAGGGTTGCCTTTCCGGCCAGGCCCTCCTGCCCGGGCAGGCAGTGCCGTGGGGGTCCCCTCTCATGAGTGTCTGTTCCCCTCCACAGTGGCCATTTGACGCCCTGGGCTCCCACAGCTACCCTCTCCCCGCACCCCGCACTGCAAACTGCTCCGTCTGCCACTCCTGCCCTCAGACTTCCTCAGGGGGACCAGGCCCCAGGGTCCATGCCCCCGAATGCCAGATGACATGTGTCTGGGTGCCCTGAGGATGCCCTCTCTGAATACCCACCCCTCAGTTGGCCCTGGCGTAGGAGGGTCAGCATTTAGCTGGCGTCCAGCCGGGAAGAAACGCCACCTTCCTTCCCGGCATGCACTGCCTTCTCTGGGGGGTCATCTGAAGCCCCTCACTCAGCTTAAGAAAGGGATTCTTTCCGTAAATCCCGCAGCCTGGCTCTCCAGCCTTCTCTATGCGAGCTGGCGGGGGCCACACGGGACAGTACCCTCTCTCTCGCCAAGTCCTGAAGGTGTGTCTGGCACCTCTCTCAAGGTGTGGGTGCTGCTCACCCGCTGTCCTCAGCCTTGGGCTTCAGCAGAAATTCCTGGAGAGGAGAAAAGTCCTGTTATCATTCCCTTCTGCTCGTGCTCTTATGTCGTCCTCACGACACTTTGAGGAGAAGGTTTGTTCTCATCCCACTTCACAGATTGGAAAACTGAGGCCAAAGACAGCAATAGAAAAATAGTGGGGCAGACAAAACTCCAGCTCAGCTCTAAAGCCTCCTAAGTCTGTGTCCTTTGTGCCACAGTGACCCTAGTCACCCCTGTGGGAGAGAAACAGCCTGCATACCCTGGTACTAATAGATGCCTTAATACCTGCTGGCTGGGGGGGTGGAAGAGTGACCGGGGCCCTCACTCTGGCTGGTGGGGCTGAGCGGCCTAATGTCGCAGGGAGGCTGAGGCCCAGGCAGATGGAGGCCCCGTCAAAGGCCTGTCCTGCACCAGCCGGCTGGGGCTGGGGACCCCCTGCCAGCTCCACTTCTGCCACTGCTTTGGTTGGCTCTGGGAGGCGGCTCCTTGGCTGTGTTTCGGGGACACAGCTGCCCCCCACCCTGCAGCCTGGCACATCTCCAGAGCTGGATGGCTCATCTAGAAATGACATTGCGTCTTGGCTGGCAAAGCCAGCTCGAGAAACTCTTCTCTGGGCCGACCTCAAGGCTGGGGGGCTAGAAGGTGGCAGGATGGCGGGCAGGGCCAGGACGTGGCCATCCTCCAGCGCTGGGAAGCTGCTGGGCCTGGCACGGTACCCAGCAGCGCTGAGCCCTGTGGCCAGAACTCCAGCCCTTCGTAGGTGGTGCAGGTCCCACCGCTGTCCCCAGGGCTCTGTCTGTGCCTCTGTGATCCACCCGGAGGTTCTGACTTGAGATTTAGGCTCCGCTCCTCCTCCCCACCAACCATCGGTCATAAAGCCCTTAGCATCTCCCAAATCTGCCCTCTCCTCCCACCCCTCTGCTCTGCCTGGCTCATGCCTTGCTATTTTGTCCAGGACTGTTCTGGAGCCACCTTCCCGGTCTCCTTGCCTTCCCGCTCACCAACCGCAATCTGTTCTCCGCACACTGCCAGAGTGAGTGTGCTGATGCCATGGACCCTCCCTGCTCAAAGGCCTTGTGTGACTCCCTGGTGCCTCTGGAGCTAGGTCCAACTCCCCATCCTGGCATTCAAAGCCCCTCATGAACTGCCCTGACAACCTTAGGAGCCTTATCCCCACAGCAGTCCTGCAGAAAGGCCCCCTCCTCGTTCCTAGGACGTACCCCGTACTTCCCCTCCCTCTGTTCCACCCCCACCCCCTTCTCCATAGCCCAACTCATTCTGGGCCTGCTGCGTGCTGGGCCTGGCCCTCGCTCCTTCCCATCCTCAGCGCTCCTCGGCGCTCTCTTCCTCGGGTCCCAGTTATTTATGCTCTGAGTCCTCTCTCAGCCACCTCCGTGAGTTTAGCTGCGTCCGGGTCTGGTTCCAGTCTTTCTCAGCGCTCCAGCCGGAAGCACAGTGTCAGGCCCATGGGGGTGGGGCGGGGGTGAATCACTGCTCCCTGAGTGAAGTGTTGAGTGACAAGTTGTCTGCGTTCATTTGTTTCTTCAACAAATATTCATTGAGTGCCAATTGAGTGGCAAGTTAGTTGAAATGTTGCAGATATAGCAGTGAATAAAACAGACCAAAATATTTCTGTCCTTAGGGAACTTACATTCTGGTTGGGGGACATAGACAACAAGCAAGATACATAAACGAAATTCACAGTATTTCAGATAATAATAAATGCTTAGGAGAAAAGTAGAGTTGGGAGGGGAAATAGGGAATGTGTGAGTGTTGAAGGGAGAGAGCTGCCATTTTATGTAGTGTGGCCATTGTTGAATAAACCTGTAGGAGGTAAAGGAGTGAATTCTGTGGCTATTTGGGGGAACAGTGTTCCAGTGAGAGGGAACAGCAGCTGTAAAAGCCCAGAGTCAGGAGTGTACCGGGTAGGTTTGAAGAACAGCAAGGAAGCCACTGCAGTTAGTGCAGAGAGAGAGAAGGGGGAGAGGGAGGTGGGGACAGAGATGATGGGTGTCGATCATGGAGGGCCTTGGGGGCATCGGGTGGAACTGGCTTTTACTGAGAGTGAGACAGGGTTTTATTCCAAGAATCGGGAGATTCGGCTTTTGTCTTCTGTGTCTACTGAGATGATCATGTGGCATTGTCCTTTCATTATATTCCCGTATGAGTCGCATTGACTGATATTTTATGTTTAACTGGCCTTGCGCTCCTGGGATGTATTCTCCCTTGGTCATGGTTTCGCTGGACTTGCCTTGGTAGTATCTGTTGAGGATTTTCGCATCTATATTCACAGGGGATGCTGGTCTGCAGTTTCCTTGTGGTGACTTTGCCTGGTTTTGGTATCAGGGTGATGGCTTCAGAACGGGTTGGCCAGTGTTCTTTCCTCTTCTGTCTTTGGGAAGAGTTTACGAAGAATTTGTTAATTCATCTTTCAATGTTTGGTAGAATTCACCAGTGAAGCCATCTGGTTCTGGGCTTTTGTTTGTGGTAAGTTTTTTGATTTCTAAACTCAATATTTACTTGTTATAGGTCAATTCTATTTCTTCTCGAGTCAATTTCTGTGTTTCTGTCTGTCTAGGAATCCGTACGTTTAGTCTAGGTTAATCTAATTTGTTGGTACACAGTTTGTAATATTTCCTTATAATCCTTTTAGTTTCTGTGAGGTTGGTAGTAACGTGTCCTCTTTCACTGAGTCTTTTATTCTTGGTCATTTTAACTAAAGGTTTGCTAATTTTGTTGATCTTTTCAAAGAACAAACTTCTGGTTTCATTGATTTTTCTCAACTGTTTTTCTATTGTTGGCTTATGTTTAATAGAATCCCTCTGGCTGCTCTCTTGGGAATGGACTTGGGGGCGAGGGCAGAGGCTGTTGCTAGAATGCAGGTGAGAAATGATGGGGCGAGGCTTGGACCAGAGTGGCAGCAGTGGGGGGGATAAGTGGTTGCATTAGATATATTTTGAAGGTTGAGCCGTCAGAATTTCCCGACGGGTTCAATGTAGAGCATAAGAGAAAGAGGAGTCAGAGATGAGTTCTAGGATACTGGCCTTGGCAGCTGGAAGGAGGGGGAGGCTGTTAACTGAGATAGGAAAGTGAGCCTGAGCCACAGCAGCGGGTGTTTTGGGGGGAGATCAACAGCTTGGCTTTGTACATTCTGAATTTGTGCGGGAGGTTGACATCCAAGCGGAGGTGTTAGCAGAGAACTGGATACGGGAGTCTGAAGTCCAGGGGACTTGGCATCTCCCCTAATACTTCAGTGGGTGGGGACTGGCTGCAGTCTGCCACGATGGGTGTCATTAGGTTTTGGGGAACTAAGGGGTCAGCATTAGAAAGGGTGCCCAAAGGGGGCTGAGGAATTGGCTCTTTTTGGGCTTCAAGATAGGAACAGTCACTTTATCCTCTTCTGCCCACCCACCCATCCATCCATCCATCCATTGCTTCCCTTCCCAGGTTGCAGGAACCAAAGATTTCTTGTCTATCTCTGCTGTTGAAGGAGCAAGTCCTGGCAGAGGCTCCGTGCCC